TTTGTTTGGTTTACAGATTTAGAGATTTAAGAGCATGATGCCAGCATCTGCCTGGCTCTGATGAGGGCCTTCTGGCTACATCATAACATGGCAAGTTGGCCTCATGAGAGGAGCCAATGGGAAAGGGAGAGATGGCATGATGAGTCAGGAAGCAAAAGAAAAAGCCAAGGAAACCAATCGCACTTTATAACACTCCATTATTATAGGAACTAATCCACTTCTCCAGACAAGCATTAGTCCTTCCTGAGGATTGGGTGATGCCCCCATGAACTAATTATCTTCCACTAGGCCCCACTTCTTAAAGTTTCTACCACCTCAACACTGGAGATCAACTTTCCAGCACATAACCCACAGTGGAACACAGTCAGATGGTCTCCAAACCATAGCAGACCTAAATAGACATTCTTTAAAGAAGGTATATGAGGGGCTGGGGCTGTAGCTCAGTGATAGAACACTTGCCTAGCATGTATGAGGCACTGGATTCAATTCTCTGCACCGCATATAAATAAATAAATACATACATACATACATAAATAAATATCCATCAACAACTAAAAAAAGAACAATTAGAGGATAGAAAAAAAAWTTTAAAACAAGGTATATAAAAAAATGCCAACAGGTATATGGGGGAAATGCTCAATGTAAATAATCCTCAGGGGAAAAAAATTTAAAAGCACAAAGAAATATCATTTCACTCCTGATAGAATGGCTATTATCAAAAAGACAAAAAATAATAATGGGAAGGATGCAAAAAAAAAAGGAAACACACACTATTAGTGGAAATTTAAATTAATGCAACTATTATGGGAAAATAGTTTGAAAGTTCCTCAGGACACTAAAAATAGAATCACCATATGATCCGGGGACACCATGTACATATCTAGAGGAAATGAAGTCAGTATGACAAAGAACTATCTATGTTCTTGTGTTCTTTGCAACACCATTCACAATATCCAAGATATAGAATCAAGCAACCACGAGTACATCCACTGATGAATGACAAAGAAAATGTGAAGTAATTACACACTATTCAGCTATTAAAAAGAAGAAAATCCTTCATTTGTGACTAAAAAATTTTTAAATCAAAGTGAAAAAACAACCTCTGCACTGAGAGAAAGTATTTGCAAACCATACATCTAATAAAGTATTAATATCCAAAGCATGAAAGGAAAGCAAACAACTCAATAGCAAGAACACAATCCAATTAAAAAATGAGCAAAGGACTTGAACAGATATTTCCCAAAAGATAACATACAAATGCCCAGAAGTACATGAAAAAAAATATTCAACATTATTAATCATCAGGGAAATGAAAATCAAAACCACAATCAGATTATTATTACCTCACTTCTGTTGGAATGACTATTATTGAAATGACAGAAAGTAGCAAGTGTTCGAAAGGATGTGGAGAAAGTAGAACCCTTGCAGAACTCTTGGTGGCCACGTAAATTACTGTAGCCATTATGGAGAACAGTATGAAGTTTCCTCAAAAAATTAAAAATACAACTATTAGATGATCCAGCAATCCCACTTATGGTGTGTATCCAGAGGAAACCAGTCTGGTGAAGAGATATCTGTACTCCCATGGGCACTACAGCATCATTCAGAATAGCCACCATATAGAATCAATCTAAGTGTCTATGGACAGATGAACAGATAATGAAAATATTGATTATATAGACCTATATACTATTCAGCCTTTAGAATGAAGGAAATTCTATCATTTGAAACAACATGGATAGACCTGGAGGACATTATTTTAAGTGAAATAGGTCATGCACAGAAAAAAAAAAAACACTGTACAATTTCACTTAATGTGAAATCTACAAAAAAGTTGAACTTATGTGAATGAAGCATAGAATAGGGATTGCCAGAAGCTTGGGGAAGGAGACCTGAGGAATGGGGAGATGCTATTCACAGGGTACAATAATAAATAGTGTATTGTATATTTCAAACTACAAGAATAATGGGTTTTAAATGTTCTTATGCTTAAAAAATAAGTGTTTGCAGTGATAAGGATGTTAATTCATTTGACATAATCATTGTACAATGTATACATAGAGATACAGATATCAAGTTGTATCCTATAAATATGTGACAATTAAAAATAAAACTTAAATTTAAAAATCCACTGTGCTTCTACACACTAATAATGTGATATCGAAAAAGGAAATATGAAAAATAATCCCTTTTATTTTTTCTTATTTATATACATGGAGGGTAACTGGGAATGAAACCCAGGAGTGCTATACCCCTGTGCTACATTTCCAGCACCCCAACTTTTTTTTTTTTAAACAGGATCTCACTAGGTTGCTTAGGGCCTTGCTAAGTTGCCTAGGCTGGCCTCAAACTTGTGATCCTCCTGCCTCAGCTTCCCAAATCACTGGGATTACATGTATACACCACCATACCTGGTTAACAATTCTTTTTATAATAGCATGGAAAAATAATTTAGGAATAAAGCTAAATATAACTAAGGAATTGAAGGTCTTATACACCAAAAACTACAAAACATTGCTAACAAAATTTAAAAGACAAAATCAGAATGGAAAGACATTCCATTTTAAATTGGAAGGCTTAATACTGTTAAAGTATCAATACTATCCAAAGTAATCCTCAGAGTCAATGCAATCCCTATCAAAATCCCAATGGTGTTTTTTACAAAATAAAAGGAAAAATACTAAAATCTATGGTCTTTGGACCACAAATAATCTAATCAGTTTTAAGAAAGAAGAACAAAACTAGAGGTTTTACACTTCTTAATTTAAAACTATATTACAGAGCTGGTCACAGGAGCACACACCAATAATAGAAACTCAGTAAGCTGAGAAAGTTAGCAAGACCCTGTCTCAAAAAATAAAAAGGCTAAAGATGTCCTCAGTGGTAGGGCACCCTTGGGTTCCATCTCCAGCACTTCAAGAGGTAAAAACTATATTACAAAGCTATAGTAATTAAAATAGCATGGTACTGGTATAAAGACAGAAATAGAGACCAATGGAACACAATATAGAGCCCAGAAATAAACCCTTGCATATAGGGTAAACTGATCTTCCAAAAGAACACAAAAAATATAGAATAGGGAAAAAATAGCCTCGCTAACAAATGGTGTTGGAAAAACTGCATATTTACTTGCAAAAGAATGYAATTGGAGCCAGAAGCGGTGGAGCACACCTTTAATCCCAGTGGCTCAGGAGACTGCAGCAGGAGGATCACAAGTTCAAAGCCAGCTTCAGCAACAGCAAGGAGCTGAGCAACTCAGTGAGATCCTGTCTCTAAATAAAATACAGAATAGGACTGGGGATATGGTTCAGTGGTCAGGTATCCTTGAGTTCACTCCCTAGTACCAAAAAAAAAAAAAAAAAAAGAAGAAGAATGCGATTGGACCCTCATCTTATACCATGCACACACACACACACACACAAAAAAAAAAAAAAACTCAAAATGGATTAAAGACAAACATAAGACCTGAAAATGTAAAATTCCTACAAGAAAACAGGGGAAGATTCTTGACATTTGTCTAGGTAGCAATTTCATTGGATATAACAAGAAAAAGCACAAGCAATAAAAATAATTAAATGAGACTATCAAACTAAAAATTTCTACATAGCAAAGAAAACAACAGAGTGAAAAGGTGGAGAAAATATGTACAAACTATTTGTCTGATCATGAGTTAATCCCCAAAATATATAAAGATCTACTACAACTCAATAGCAAAAAAGACTACTAATAATATAAATTTTAAAAATAGAATTATGATATGATTTAGTAATCTCATTTTTGGATATTATCCAAAAGTATTGAAACAAGGACCTTAAAGAGATATCGTAACTACATCCACATTCATTGCATTACTATTCACAAGAGCCAAGAAGTAGGAACAATCTAAATGCCCATTGAAAGATGATGAATTACCAAAAAAAAATATGTGGTAATACATACACAAATATAATTCAGCCTTTAAAAAGAAGGACATTCTGTCATTTGTGACAATAGCAGTGAAACTAGTAGACATTATTCTAAGTGAAATAAGCTACACACAAGAGGACAAATAATTCCATTTATATAAGTTATCTAAAATACACAACATCATAAAAGCAAAGACTAGAATAGTGGTTTCCAGAGACAGTGGGTGGGGAGGGGAAACAGAGAACTGCTAATCAATGAGTACAAAATTCTGGTTATACCAGATGAATAAGCTCTAGAGATCTGGGGTACAACATTGTGCCAATGGATCACAATACTACACTGTAGATTTAAAATCTGTAAAGAGGGTATATCCTATGTTAAGCCTTCTAGCCACAACAATTTTCTAAAGAAAGAAAAATGTGAAATTGGAAAAGAGTTAAAGAGTAGATACCAGAAGATCAGATGGCCTTAGCTAGCTACAGTGGCATTTATAAGGTGGAGCAAGACTGTGAGGGTCCCTCCAGACAGTAAGCCCCATGTGATAGAAAACAAAAAACTATCCTAGAGGGAACAATAGTTGTAGGGGCCCAGATTTAGGGGGAACAATCATCAGGATGGGTTACTTAATTTCAAGATCCAGTGTAAATAAAAATACAGTGTACAGAAATTATTAATAATTCCAGTGTATTTTAATAGCAGAGTACTAAGCCAAACACAGGGCCCTTTGGAAAGAAGCCCACCAAACAGTGCTAAAAATGGGATGGACTTGGGAAACCCAGGACTCTTGGTCACCCTGCCAGGACCGAGATTCAGAAGGCATGAATCCCCATATCCCAATACTTCCAGATTGCTATTTACTATCTCTGGGCCTGGATGTCCTTATCTGTAAACTTGGAGTGAGGACATACCCAATCACCTCCTATCATTACAGAAATAATTAATCTAGAATTGAGATCCTTTATGGTTTCTGTGAAGTGTGTGTTATTATTTTTGAAGGTTCTAAAAGGAGTACAGGGAGACTCTTGAATTAGAAGGGAATAGATCCAGCAAAGAGGTTACTGATACGATAAGGACAGTAAGTGACCTGGACTTACCTGGCTGTGGGAGGAGCTGATGCCAAATACTGATATTCCATGAAAAATGTAAATAGCACCCCGATTCTCCTGTTCTCCTGGGGCTCCAATAACCACGTCTGTCAGCTTGTCCCCATTCACATCTCCCAGCACTGTCAGAGCTGCCCCAAAGCGGCCCCAGGGATGGCCCTGCTCACCATGGAGAACAGCCTCACACCGCCACCGAGCCCTCTGCTGAACAATAACAGTTCAGGCCTTAATCAGATAACCTCTCCATCCCACACGCAGACCCCATCCAGCCCAGGTCCCATCAGCCACTCAACTCACCCCCTTAGGCAAGGGACACACGGACACCTGGCCCCCTCGGGTCTGCTCATAGAAATGGGGTGCCCCAATGAGGACCAGGTTGGTGTTTCCATCACCATCCATGTCCACCGAGCAGAGGGAAGCCCCAAAGTAGGAGCCAATCTGAAAGAGATGGATCCAGTATTACATATCTCTTCCCACCTAAAGCAGAGTGAAGAAAAATCATTTTAAAACAAAAAGAAAGAAAAATCATGCCTGCTGATGAAAGCCCTTTGGAGAGGATGTGATTTTTCTATATGATTCATGATGATTCATGATAAATTCTTATTTGAATGTGCTGCCAGTTATAGAAGTACATTGTAAAGTGAATCAGCAGAGGTTTGGATTTGGGGTATCAAATGGTATTCTAGAGAGATTATTAAGGCAACAAAGAAGAAGTTAGATTGGAAAATCCAGATAGAAAAGCCTAGAAGAATAGACAGGATACCCTTTCAATATATTGGGAGTCTTTGAGTGGGGTGATGAAAAATTAAAGTAGGCAGTCTTACTAATTAAGAATCAATCTGGGAGCTGGGGATGAGGCTCAGGTAGTGCACTTGCCTGGCATGCATGAGGCACTGGGTTCAATCCTCAGCACCACATAAAAATAAAATAAAGATATTGTGTCCACCTAAAACTAAAAAATAAATTTAAAAAAAAAGAATCAATCTGTTTGGATTAAAATTAACAATTGCTACCCAGAATTTTTTTGCAATAGTGAAAAATAATGTCCACCTACCAGCATAAAAGATTTTTAAATATGTTCAATGTCAATATAGAGAATTCATCTCTAGAATTTTCCATTTAATTATTCATTCATTCACTTATTCTCTCTCTCTCTCTCTCTCTCTCTCACACACACACACACACACACAAACACACACATCAATTTAAAACTGGGATATATTCTAGATCTAGAAAGAAAAAATGACCTCTGCCCCACACCATTGAGGAAGGCCTCACTGATAACCCAATAAAGGCATTTAAGCTTCATCCTGAAGTCAATAGGAGTACAAATTTTTTAGGTCAGGTTTATTGGTGTATAATGTACATACAACAAACCCAGTCTTTTTATTATATAGTTTTCGAATTTTGACAAACATTTAAAGTCATGTAATCATCACTACGGTCAACATATAGAATTTTGACAAACATTTTAAAGTCATGTAATCATCACTACAGTCAACTTATAGAAGAATTTCATCATCCCCAAAACATACCCTCATGCACCATCATAATCAACCTCTCCCTTTGATCAAAAAATTCTCCAAAATTAAAAAATTACCTACTATAGATTGGAAAAATTGTCTCAAATTACAGAATGGCAAGTTTGTCTGAGGTTTTCTGCCTCCAAGCTTTCTTTTACCTTCACTCAGTTACCAAAATATCACCCTAGACCTTCATACTCCTGCTGGTACTCTCTTTCCCCCATTCAATTTTTCATCAGTTCTACACTTGATACCCATAAAAACTTAAAAGAGAGAAGGGCACCAAGGCTTCCCAGAAACAACTTATATATGCTGCTTTCAAGAACTTTAATAACAGGGAAGACAAGGCCAAACAGGAGAAAGAAAAGCATCAGCTCCTAGCCTCAGCCATCCATAGGCCTAAAAAAGGCCATTGCTGCTCATGGCCCCACCAGGCCTTCTAATAAATCTCCTGGGCCCTGTTTCAATGTGGAAACCTTTAGCAAAAGCATGCCTAACCAGAAGCCCGCCCACCAATCCCTGCACCAAGTGTAAACAAAAGTGACACTGGACTAGAGAATTGTCCCCAAAGCAAAACACCCCTCCCCTCCATGCAGCCATCTTCCCAAGTCCCATACACTAAGCTTCTGGAGGGAGAGGACCCAAATCCCACAGCCCTGGTCAATCCTCAGCACCATATAAAATAAATAAACAAAATAAAGATATTGTGTCCATGGAAAACTAAAAAATATTWTYAAATAAGAAAAGATAATACATCTTAGGAACCCCAAGTTATAAGGATGATGAATGACCAAGCAGCAGGCAAATATTCTACTTCTGAAGAGATTTTAAGGGCACAATTAGCTAGTAAATGTCTCCCCTTAACTTAAAATAATTATCAAAAGGTTAAATAGTATCCTCATTTTTGAGTGAGATCCCAACCCAAAGTCATATGAACAGGAGACTTATTCCAAGCCCCTACCCTACCCTCAATTTACCTATGGAGCAACAATTTAATCTGTTTGTCACTGAGAGGAAAAATACTTAACACCCTCAGTCTCAAAAATAATGGGAAAGGATTGGGGTTGGCCCAGTGGTAGAGTGCTTGCTAGCAYGTGTGAGGCGCTGTGTTTGATTCTCAGCACCGCATATAAATAAATTAAATAAAGGACAACTAAAAAATATTTTTAAAAAGTTATGGGAGGGGCTGGGGATGTGGCTCAAGCGGTAGCGTGCTCGCCTGGCATGCTTGCAGCCCGGGTTCGATCTTCAGCACATACAAAGATGTTGTGTCCGCCAAAAACTAAAAAATAAATATTAAAAAATTCTCTCTCTCGATCTCTCTCTCTCCTCTCTCTCTCTTTAAAAAAAAAAAGTTATGGSAAATAGGGATGGGATTGTGGCTCAGTGGTAGAGCACTTGCCTAGCACAGGCGGGACCCGGGTTCAATCCTCAGCACCACATAAAAATAAAGGCATTGTGTTGTGTCCATCTACACCTAAAAAATAAATATTAAAAAAAAGTTATGGGAAATAATGTTTCATAATTTTATACATCCAAACCTGACCTGATTATTACCAACCAGGGAAAAAAGGGTTAAAAAACTCTAGGCAAGAGATTTCTCTAGTCTGGCTACACTGAAGCTTACACTGGAATGCAAACAACAGACTCAAGACTCAATAGAGGGTATAAGACTAAAAAGAAGGAGGAGGAGGAGGAGAAAAGTGTATGTATATATTTTGCAGTTTACGTGATTGCATTATACATACTACACACAAACACACACACACACACACACACACACACACACACATATGTATAATGAATATACTATCTAGCCTTTAAAAAGAAGGAAATTCCAGCCAGACGTTGTGGCACATACCCATAATCCTAGCAACTCGGGAGGCTGACGCAGGAGGATCGTGTGTTCAAAACCAGCCTCAGCAATTTAGGCTATAGGTAACTTAGCAAGACCCTGTCTCAAAATATACAATAAAAAGGGTTGGAGATGTAGCTCAATGGTACATTGAGTACCCCTAGGTTCAATTCCCAGAGAAGGAGAAGGAGGAGAAGAGAAGAAGATTCTGTCATTGAAACAGCATGAAACCAGGGGATATTATGCTAAGTGAAATAAGCCAGGCACAGAAAGACAAATACTGCATGATTTCACTTATATGTAGAATCTTAAAAGTCAGATGCATCACAGCAGAGATTAGAATGGTGGTTGCCAAGGGACAGGGCTTGGGAAGGAACAGCAGAGATGTTGGTCAAAGGGCACTACTACATTTCAGTTAGAATGAATAAGTTCTGTTGATCTCTGTTGTAGCATATAGAGACCATAACTAATAATAATGCATCATGTACTTAAAAATTACTAAAGGAGTAGATTTTAAATGTTCTCACACTCCAAAACAAGATAAACATCTAAGGCAATAGATATATTAATTTAGATTGGTTTAATAATTTCACAATGTATACATATATTAAAACATCACATTTTACATGGGAAATACATACTACTTTCATTTGTAAATTATACCTCAGTAAAGAGGGAACAAAACTTTATAAAAAGAAAATCAGTTGACTGTGTATGTGTCTATCTATTTCAGGGCTATTCTGTTCCATTGATCTTCATGTCCTTCTTTGGCAATACCAAAATGTCCTGATTACTATAACTTAAATTGTTAAGTCCTGAAATTCAGTGATATGTGAGTTCTCCAGTAAATACTAATGATATTTATCTAAATTCTTTGCAAAATTTTTCAGATATTCTATTTTCTTTTATTTCCCATATAAATTTTAGAATTATCTTCATCAATTCCACAAAACATACTTCTAGAATTTTTATTACATTGAGTGTAACAATCAACTTGGGGAAAATCGACATCTTAACTATACTGAGTCTTCTATCTGAGGATAGAACATCTGGCCATTTATTTATGTCTTTGATGTCTCTCATTAATATTTTATAGTTTTCAGCATATAAATATTGCAAAGATTCTATGAGGTTTATTCCTAAGCATTTCTTGGTCTTGGTTTGCTATTGTAAATGGTACTTTTTTCATATTCACTTCCAATTGTTAAATGATACTACAGAAAAAGAATTAATTTTTATAAATTGATCTTGTATCCTGAGAACTTACTAAAATAACTTATTAGTTACAGGAGCTTTTTTGTAGATTCTTTGAGATTTTCCATGCAAATATGTTATGTGCAAACACAGACAGTTTTATATCTTCCTTTCAGCTCCATGTGCTGACAACAGGGTATCACTAAGTTTCCCCCTTGCTTTGTTGAACCAGCTAGGTCTTCCAATATGATATTGAATAGAAATAGTAAGGATGAATATTCTTGCTTTGTTTCCAATTATAGCAGAAAAGCATTCTCTTGCACTTTTGACGTCAATTGCAGATTTTTTGAAATTTTTTCCAAGTTGAGGAAGTTCTCCTTAGTTCCTATTTCACTGAGGTTTTTAATCATGAAAGAATTCTATTTTTTGTCAATTACTGTTTCTGTGTCTACTAAAATAATTACTTTTTATTCTCTAATTTCTTATTATGGTGGATTACATTGTTTTCAAAATAGCTATTTTTTATTGAGATAAAATTTATATAATATAAATTCACCATTTTAAAGTATAAAATTCAGTGGTTTTTAGTATAGACATAATGTTATGTAACCATCATCACTAATTCAAGATTGTTGTCTCCCCAGAAATAAACTTAGGGTCTCCTAGTCATCATTCCCAATCCCTTAGCCACCCCCATTCCTTGACAACCACTAATCTACTTTCTGGCTCTATTGATTTGTAAAGTTTAAGTGTGAGGCTTCCAACTTTGTTCTACTTTTTCAAGCTTGTTTTGGCTATTCTGGGTCCCTTGCATTTCCATATGAACTTTTAAAAATATTTTTAGTTGTAGATGGACACAATACCTCACATGTGCTAGGCAAGCACTCTACCACTAAGCTACAACCCCAGCCCTCTATATAAACTTCAAGAACAGTTTGTCCTCTTGGGGAATCTCAAAGATACAGCCATTTGTCAACTGATATGGAATTATTAAATTATGTGGCTATATTGGTTATGTTACCAGTTAAATATCAGCTCTGGATGCACTTAAACTCATAAAGAGCTCTGTACAGGTCAAAAATTATTATTTATTATTGTTAGAAAACTAAGAACACAGCATTCTCAAATGCAGAACTGATCCCATGACTCCCCAACTTAAAGCCCTCTGAAGGCTCCTTTTCAAATCTCTACTATACAAGGCATCTGGCAATGCCCACCCTGGAATCTCTCAGTCCCCAGGGTGCCTCTGCACATTCACGCTTTATACTCTGCTCTTACCTGGTTGCCCTTGATAATAGTGTTGGTCTCCCAGGCACCAGCATTCTGTCTGAACATCGCCACCAGGCCAATGTGTTGATATCGAGGTGCACCCAGAACCAGGCTTTGCACCCGGTTCCTCAAGATGACTGCAGATGCATAACCTGAAGATGGTAGTCTAATAGGCAAAGTGCTTTCCCTCACAGGCCCTGCCCTCCTTTTCACTTTGCAGGTCATACTTGAGTGGGGGCAATGGGGCAGCCCCATGCTTGGCAGATTGGGGTAACAGCACTATACTATATTCCTCTTTGTGAACATAATTAAAATTAAATTTTGAAATTTATGTCTTTGCACATATCCCAAGAGCCTGTGAAAGATCCAATGGCAGTTACACGAACTGAGTTACATGAAATCCTGATCCTCTCTTAGGGGACCCCTGCTATCCCCACTTACCCAAGTAAGCATCATTCATATCTGAGTCCACCCTGGTTGTGTTGATGAAGGTGATTTCATTCTTTGACCTATGCAAAAAGGCTCCACCAGCCCAGTCAAAGCTCCCCACAGAGCCCAGCAAAGGACCATTCTGGAAAAAGAGGTTGAACAGGATTGATGAGGGAAGAAGAGACCATTTCTGCCCATTAAAGAGTTACCTCACTACAAGAGTCCATCACAGGAAGAGCCTCCAGACCCTTGGACTTCTTCTCTCTTTTCTTCTTGCCCTACCTCCACCCCCAATTTAATGAAGGGCCACTTACAGAGGTGATGGCAGCACTGAAGCCTTCCTGAGACATCTCATGCTCAAAGGAGCTGGTACTTCCTGTCTGAGTGCCTGTGAGGAGGAGAACTTTCTATATCAAGAAAGCAGAAGAGCATAGAATAGTGCTGGAAACTCAAATGCTATTGTAGCCAGACAAAGGGAGGCTCCAATGGGATCTGTGTTGAACTCTAAAGTGTGTGCCCTTCTTTTGGCAGCTAATCACAATAGCTACTTTCTGTCAGATGAGAATGTGGTCCTCAAGAAGTCTAATTCCTTTATTCAATATGCATTTATTGACCATCTTCTATGTACCAGGTAATATTACAGGTGAAGAGTAACAGAATATTGAATACATGTCAGCAACACACCTAAATTTTAGGGAAAATGCTGTATGGAATTTGACTTCTCCACACTTGGATTTATCAACCTATAGCCAAGACTGGCAAAATTAGAGATGAAAATAAAGATTCTTCGATTTCAAAGGAATTGACCTGGTGAGGCCCAAGTGGTAGGGAAGAGTTRAGGTCAAGATACCAGAAATTAGGAAGGTCTAGTCTGCATCTTGAGCTCTTCTGGGAACACAGATGCCCAGCTCACCTTCAATTGCAAAGATCTTTTCCTGAAGCTGGTTTTGAATGGTGTTTAGTGCTTCAAAGTTATTCACCCGGAACACATGATCACGAGCTGGCTTAGAGGCAATGGTATTAAGCTCTTCACGGGATCTGTCATTGTTGAAGGCACCTCCCACCTGATTGCCAAGAAACAAAGGTCAAAGCAGACAGTGTCTGTAGGTAGCAGTATCATCTAGCAAAAAATTTCTTAGGAAAAGTATCAGGAACATTGTCAAATAAGAGAATGCAGCAGAAGGCCTCTGAGACACTGCCAAGTGTAGTTGGGCAGAGTATACATTGTACAGGCAGCAGCTCAGGGATTTTTTTTTTTTTTTTTTGGCACTGGGGATTGAACTCAAGGCCACTTTACCAGTGAGCTATATCCCCAGCACTTTTTATTTTTTACTTTGAGACAGGGTATCACTAAGTTGCTAAGGCTGACCTTGAACCTGCAGTCTTCCTGCCTTAGCCTCTGGAGTTGCTGGAATTATAAGCATCTGCCACCACATCCAGATTCAAACACAATTTTTAATGTATTTTCTCTGCCATGCTTCCTGGCTGCCCTCCTCTCAGAGAAAAGGGAGAGATTTTTTCTTTATATGAAGGTCTTACATGGTAATCCATGCACTCAGAATGATACTTTTTCTATGTCACACAAGTACTGTGGTAGTTTGATTATACTGATGATCCTCTTCCTTGTATCCAAGCCCTTTCCCCATAAACTTTCCTGTGCCCTTTACTCTTAGGGGAGTAATCTGCACCACTCATTGTCTCTGGGCTCAGCCATGTATCTTGGTTTAGCCCATGGATGTTATCAAACTTGATGCAAACAAAGATCTGAAAAAAATGTCTGCAATATTTCCACTTTCTCGCTTGTTCCTCTGCCTTCACCAAAAGGACATGTCAAGGCCAGCCCACTGTAGAATGAGACCCAGGGAGCAGAAGGGCCAAATCACCCAGTTGTTCCAACCAAGGTCATCTGTCCAGCAGACAAACCAGCTTGCAATCCTCAGAAATGGAGAAAGCTGGCCAGGATGTAAGCAGGAGAATTATAAGTTCAAGGCCACACTGGGCAACTTAGTGAGACTCTGTCTCAAAATAAAAAATAAACAGGACTAGGGATGTATCTCAGTGGTAGAGTACCCCTGAGTTAAATCCCCAGTGCTAGAAGGAAGAAAAGAAGGAAGGGGGAGGGGGAGAGGAGGGGAGATGGCCTGACAACGTGTAGCTGATTACAAATGTGTGAGTGAGCCCATCTGAGACCAGAAAAACTATGCAGCTGATCTACAGGCTTACTTATTATTTTTAGCCATTGAATTTGTAGATCATTTGTTACACAGCATTATTGTGACAATAGATAACTGATGCACAGGTCTGTCTGGGTTAGCAGGAACCCTTCCCTCACTGATTTCACCAGTATTTGCAAGTTGAAGGGAGGGTATGTCCAAGTAGAAATCCACAACAAAAGCATCAGGCCCAAAGACACATTTCCTACCCCAATGACATAGCGAATGACCCCCTTTCTGTCGGCCTCAGGGATGACATCCTCATAATTCAGGGGATCTTGATATTTTTCTCCATCTGTGATGACAACTAGGATCTTAACAGCATTTTCCCGGGCTCCATTGGCACTCTGAAACAGTTCTCTTCTGTTCACAGAAGAGGAAGGACAAAGTCAAATGCAAATAAAGAGGCTATTAATGTGTTGGGAGGAAATGTCAGCAGAGTCACAGACACAGAAGCAGCTGGGCTCTGTCTAGGAAGGGGCTCTCTCTCTCCTGAGATAGAAAGGCAGCGGGGGAAGGGAGAAGAGGGAGAAGAATGGGGAAAAAAGTAAGCCTTTACCCTTATATATGCTTTTGTATGTTTTGACATTTTAAACTGAATATTATTCTTTTAAGTCTAGAAAATTTTTTAAAAAAAGAAATAGACAATTTGGCCTTCATCACATCTCTCCTAGAGTACTACTACAGCTCTCCAGCTCATCTTCCTGCACTTCTGTCCCAACCCCACCCTTGCTGTTACACACACACACAATCAGAATATTTCCAAAACATAATAGGATATCTTCCTACTGCTTAAGATCATCAATGGATCCTCAGGGGCTACAAATTTGCCTTTGGTTACTGAAATCAATCAATTTTTCTGGCCTCCCTCCAGCCACCTTTCCCTCACTCACTTTTTTTTGTTTGTTTGTTTTTGGTGGCGGCGGTAGGTACCATGGATTGAGACATTCAAAATGGCACCACATCCGCGGTCCTTTTTTTTTTTTTTTTTTGTATTTTTAGAGAGAGGGTCTCACTGAGTTGATTAGTGCCTCACTTTTTCGAAGGCTGGCTTTGAACTCGCCATCCTCCTGCCTCAACCTCCCAAACCATTGGGATTACTGGTCTGCATCACCCCACCCAGCTTTCACTTCCTCTCTTTACTTYCACATTTATGCACAATTTTTTCATTAACATATTAGAGAAAGGAGACCCAGGAGAAGAAGGAGGGCAAGAGAAGGTGAGGTACTAGAGAATGAGATTGATCAAATTATATTATGTGCATATACGAAAATATCTCAATGAATCTCACTATTAAGCATAATTATAATGCACCAATAGAAAAAAAAATACTACATACAGACCTCCTTCAAACCTTTGCCCCATTCTTGTCTGAACAATTCCCACATCCTTCAAAGCCCAGTTAAAATCATCTCCTCCTTCCATCCTAAGCAAAGAAGGAAGAACTTACACTACTTTGCGGATTCCTGTGGCAGTGTATGTTGTCCCATGCAGTTGTCTTATTCGGTTTACCAGCAATCTTGGGTTAGGATTTGTCTTGAAATAATTGAAGGTAAAATGAGTCTGGAATTCATTTGAGTACTGCATCAAAGAGAACTGGAAACAGGGCAGTGGCATTAGACTGAAGAAGGTGCTCCTCATCTCCAGCAAGCCTTACATAAACCTTGCAACACTCCAATTTCCAAATTTCTTCTCCACAGCTCCCACCCACTTTCAATACTAGAATTCTACAAGAAGTGACATGTGGATTTCATCTCCCATGCCACCCCTATTCKTCGAGCTGCCTACTTGAAAGAATGCTTATGGTGCATCCAAGCAGATCAAAAAATAGAATCATAAAACAACATAACCATCAGATGTCCATTTTGCCATGTATGCTATTGCAGTAGTGGGGAATAGTGGCAATCTGGCTGCCATGTATTTGCCACCCTGGTATGAGCCCTTACCAAGGTTTTAGACTTTTTGAATTGGTCCATCACTGTTGACACAAAGTCCTTCATCTTCCTAAAGTCGTTTTCATTGATGCTACCAGAGCCATCAATCAAAAAGGCAATGTCGCTCTCCTGCTGAGGACATGCTAGRGAAGAGGAAAAAGAGTACGAATTGATTAAGTAATTAGAGACTTGTTATCAGGTAAACAAGATTCCACCTATGTTCTGGGCTGAATTTTAAAAATGGCAGACTCCTTGGACATCAGCAAAATGACTGCTAGAAGTCATTAGTGCTCAATAATCCACAAAGACAGCCAGAAAAAGAAACAACCAAATAAATTTTGATGAAAATAAAACAACTAAAGGAGAGTACCAGAGTATATCAACCCCAGGATGGCTTCAGAGAATGGAAGGAAATTCCTGGCCTCCATCCCCCATCTCCCAGCAGATGTCAGCTTGGAACCAGGAGGGATTTCCTCCCAAGGTGGTAAAAGTAAGCAAGAGAACTCAGCAGCTATCACCAACATGTTGGGCACTTACATTCCTCACCACTGGGGTCTACAGTTGTCCTACAGAGTTTCAGCTGTGTGAGCGGCCTAGAGTACACACAGCTGTGCTCCCTCAAGAGAAGGAGGCAACACTGAGCCCCAGCCTCTGTGGCCTATGCAGCTGAGGCCATCTTGGAACCAGAGCCACTGCTGGAGTGTGTCCTGTTCCAGGGATAAGAGGTCATGGCACCTTTCCACCCCTGAAGTGTAGCCAGCTGGTGGCTGTGCCCTTCTCCTTGGGGGCAAGCTGCCATAAAGCCACTTCATCTACCCTTCCCAGTCACTGCGACCTATCCAGTCCTTCCTGAGCTGAACCAGTGCACTAGCTCTACAGAAAATAGTAYTTGAGCCAGGCGCAGTGGTGCATGCCTATAATCCCGGCAGCTCAGGAGGCTGAGGCAAGAGGATCGCAAGTTCAAAGCCAGCCTCAGCAACAGTGAGGCACTAAGCAACTCAGTGAGACCCTGTCTCTAAATAAAATACAAAATAGGGCTCAGTGGTTGAGTACTCCTGAGTTCAATCCCTGGTAYCAAAAAAAAAAAAAAAATAGTACTCAGAGTCATTGCAGTTCCCTTTCGCCTAAGTTGAAGCGACACTCTGCATACCAGGGTTTCCAGAAAAGTGGCTTGCTGCTCAGAGAAGTCATGCTCCCTGAAGCTGAGCTGAAGTAGTGCATCATCTCCTGGGAAATTAGTGTCTTGGCTGACCAAGCAGCCATGCATCCCAGGACTGAGGTGAAGCAGTACCCCCATTTGCATTATGGAAAGTAAGAGATAAACATGGGGACAGAGAGCTTATTTAATGAAAAAAAAAAAAGTTAAAAGCATTCCAATTCTTAGAAGAGGTATGGATATCCAGATAAATGAAACTGAAAATTCCAAAAGCAGATTCAATCCCAAGTGGTCTTCACTGCAAAGCACAATAAATTAACTGTCGAAAGTCAGACAAGGAATTTAAAAGCAGCAAAAGAAAAGCAGCCAGTCACTATAAGAGAGTCCTTGTTAGACAACTGAGTTCTCAGCAGAAACTCTGTAGGACAACATAAAAGGGAATGATATATTTGATGTGTTGAAAGAAAAAACAGTCAACCAAGAATACTATATCCAAGAATACAATCTCAGAAAAATGCAGGAAAAATAAAATCTTTCTTAGACAAGCAAAATTGAGGGAATTCATCACCAAAAGACTTGTCTTACAAGAAATGATTAAGGGAATTCTTCAAGTAGAAATGAAAGGACACTAATTACTAATACAAAAATATATTAGAGTATAAAATTCACAGGTAAAGGTAGATATATAATCAAATCCAGAATACCACACTATTGATATTGTGCTCTGTAAATCACATATATCTCTAGTATGAAGGTTAAAACTCAAAATGATAATAAATAAATAAATAAATAAATAAATAAATAAATAACAATAGGGGCTGGGGTTGTGGCTCAGTGGTACAGCACTTGCTTAGCATGTGTGAGGCACTGGGTTCAATTCTCAGCATCATATATAAATAAATAAAGTTCATTGACAACTAAGAAAATATTTTTCAAAAAAATAA